TAATAATAATCGAAACTTAGACGAAACTATATTAAAATCATAATAAGAGATATGACAAAACCCTTTTGATATGACGAAAGCTGAAACTGTCAAAACTATATTAAAAACATAGAAAAGGATATGACGAAATTATTTTGAGGAGGTTTCAGCAGGCATCTATAAATATAACATTTTTATGGTAAGTAATTAATAAATATATCTTATTTAGTTGTAAAATACTTTCAGCAAACTGGTATTATATTAATTGATCTCATAGGAACCTTTGAAGTGTATAAAAATAATTGCTCTAGCCCTTATAAAATATAAGAAAATGTGTTACAGAATTTCAAAAAATATATACAAAACTTATTTATAATAATAAAAAAACATATGCAAATTTTTTATAGGAATATACTATTTTTATTTTAATACTAAATAATTTTTTAAATTATAGATGTAGATTTAGAAAAAATGTGAAAACAATATAGGAAAATTTAGCTTTCATCAAAATTTTGATGATAATTAATGACAAGTACTTCAGCTATAACTAAATTTGAGATTCTCAATGATTTAAATGATTTAAAATCAGGTATATTATTTTTAATTTATTTTCATTCATTATTTTATAATTAATAATATATTTTCTTTATTCCTATATAAAGAATTAAAAGTCAAAAGAAAAACTTGCTGAATTTATTAAAAGAATTGAAAAATTAGAGCGATAAAATTCTGATCTCTTAAGAAAAAACTGATTTCTTACTAAAATCAACAAGGAATTTAGCAAGAAAAATGAAAATTTACAGAAAAAGTAAAAATTTGTATACTAATATCCTATATTTATAATAACTAATTTTTCTTTTTTAATATTTAAGATTTGAACAATTTAAGAGATTACAGCTGTCCAGATTATTGAGGCAGTCTAATGTCAGTCCTCCTGCAAAATGAAGAAAAATCAGAAAATCTTCATTAAAATTAAAGGAAAAAAAGCCAATGCATTATACTAATGATGAATTAAAATTATCACAAAATAATTCTGAGGATGATAATTTGATAACAGAAGAGGTTAATGTAAAAGGAGCTAAAATATATTTGAATTTATGTTTAAATAATCTAAATTTTTAGCTGATATTTTTTCTGTTTTTCGTATTTAAGCTGAAATAAAGGTGGTTTTGAAAACTATTAATTTAAAGAACGATTTAGACTATGATGAACCTTTCAATAGTGAGAAAAATATCACATTACATTATAGTTTGATTCCAGAATTATGAAAGTCCTTAGCTCTAAATTTTTAGCCTTCTGTTGACCAACTTATGAACTGACTAAAACTCTTCGTAAGTTACATTAGTCAACTTGAAGAAATAAAAAAAAAGCAGAAAGGACCCTTTAGAGCTACAGTAAATTTATAATAATAATCAAGTATATAATATAAGCAAATAAAATATATTCTAAATTTGGATTTATTGAATCAATAATTTAATATTATTTATTATTTATTAGAAAATAGCTTAGCGAGTAAAGGCTACAAAAAATTTGTTTAAAGAAAATAACTAACAAATTGCGAAATATGAAAAGCAACTTTTATTCTAAATGCTCAGTGATCGCCTATACCATTTGTCAAAAATTAGCAAAACAGATAAAGAAAATTGTCAAAGATCTGTTATTACTGTATATGATTATTCTTAGCGATCAGTTGCAGTTTATTATTTTCTTTATCTAATTTAGCATATTTTGAATTTATTTAATATATTTCACTAATATTCTTTCTTATTTTCTTCAAATTTAATGAAAGTGAAAATACAATGATTATGTGCAGCATTATAACTAGTTATATTCCTTTAATGCTTCAAAATAGTTATATAAAATATAACCTAATATGATTTATAATACTAAAATTAAAGCAGATGTTACAACTGCTAAAGAATTTATAACTGAAACTGAGGAATATACTAAAGTCAGAAGAGGGGTTTCATTCGCTATTGAAGAAAGTGAAGATGATTCTATAATAAATAATGGTAAATAATGAATTTTTGGACGATTTAGAGTGGAAATAGGTCAATTTTATTAATTATCCTTATGTTTTTTTAAGTGATTCAAGGTGAGAATATATCAATTTTATTAATTATTTTTACATTTTTTTAGGCAATTCAGGATGAAATAGGTTAATTTTATTATTTTTTACATTTTTTCAGACAATTTAGGGTGGGAATGTGACAATTTTATTAATTATCTTTACATTTTTTAGGTGATTTTGGGTTAATTTTTCTATTTTTATATTTTATATTTATTATTTTTTGAGTGATTTCAGAAGGAATTGATTATATTTTTATCATATATTATTTATTTATCTATATTTAGGATGATTTTAAGGGATTTTAGAAGAAAATGGATCATATTTTATTATTTTATTATTCTATTTTTAATAGAAAATTAATCAGTAGGTTTTAGTGATATTTTGTTATATTTTTGCAAATTTATATTAGGTTTTTATTATTAATAAAATTTTAATATTTGATAAATTTAATAAGTAAGATATATCGATTATTGATGCTGAATTGCTTGTTCGATTGGAGTCGATCAGCATCTGAATTATTGCCAAATTGAGGTCAATTTTAGGCTGATTTATGGTTATTTAAGTTCTGAATTGATGCTGAATGGCTATATCTGATTGGAGTCAATCAGTATCAATCAGCGTCTGAATTTTTGTCAAATTGAGGCAAATTTTAAGCCAATTTATGGTTATTTAAGTTCTAAATTGATGCTAAATAACTATATCTGATTGGAGTTGATCAGCATCTATCAGCGTCTGAATTGTTGCTGAATTGAGGCTAATTTAAGCTGATTTATAGTTGAATTTAAGTTTTAAATGGCCATGTCTGATTGGGATTGATCAGCATTAATCAGCATCTGTTTATGCTAATCAGAAATATGGTAAATCAGCTGTAAATAGTATCAAAATCAGCCTAAAATCAGCCATCTGATTTTTAGCTGATTTGGACTATTTCAACTAGTACCTATAATTTAAAGATAATTTTTTATATAATTTAATACAATTTTACAATTTTAATATAATTTATTTTCTTTTGAATTTTGTCAATTTTTTTAACAAAATTTAATATAATTTTATTAAATTTTACCTTTAACCATTTAGAAAATCTATAAAATTCTAGATTTTATTTAGCAACTTTAATATAAACTCAATATTATTAAATAATAACAGAAAAATTTAAAGAATAATAATATTTTAAAAAAATACTTTTAAAATAGTAAGAAGATGATAATAATATAATAATTAGAAAAAATTTATTATAAGGAAGAAAATTTAGATAGAATAAAAAAGGATAGATTTTTTTAAAAGTAGTATTCATATTATTAAATAGACAAATATAAATAAAATTAATATTAAGATATTTAAAAATTTAAATAGTTTAATAGTTAAAATTAATATAATATATAGGAAAAGAGAAATTAAACAAAGTTAACTTAAATATTATAAAGAGACTTAAAGTTCAGTTATTATCAGTAAAAAAGTTACTAATTATATAGATAGTTTGAAATAAGATTAGATAATAGATCAATAAATATATACAAAATATTATATTTGAGAGATAAAAATACTTCTATTATCTTTACAATTTTTATAAGTTCAAAATAAACAATATATCTATAATAATAATGCAGAAAATAGTTTAATAACATTTATTAAATATAGTTAAAAAAAAGAAAAAATAGGTAGTATTTACAGATTCAGGTGCTAATATATCTTACATATATTATTACAATGGATATGCTACGAAATCTTTAAATTCAAAATCTCAAAAAGCCAAAATCTCAAAACTCTAAATCCCGAAAGGTCCAAAATCTTGAATTCCAAAATCTTGAAATTTAAAATCCCGAATAGTCATAAGAATTACTTTAAATTAGTATGTCGTGGGTGAGTCATGGAAAATTACTTTGAATTAGCAATATATGTTACGGGTGAGACTTAGGTTATCTGAAAATAATCCTGCTGAAAATTTTTTTCATTTATTTGTATAAGCAAAACTCCCCCCTGATTGAATATTTTTCATTTATTGTATAAGTAAATATTAAACCATTAATAAGATGAATTGCGATTTTAACAACTTTGTAATGAAATTTTTTTAATAAAATTATGTTATATATATATTAATAATTTGGTAATGTCATGCCGTAATATATGCCTTAATCAGAAAGCAAACTTAGTTATACATAAAAAATTTTTGAAGGATAATTCGTGATTTTTACCATTCGGGATTTTGGATTTTGAGAATTTGACCTTTCGAGATTTTGGATTTCGAGATTTTAAACTGCATCCATTATAATATATAATTAAATTAAAATTGATTTTAAGATAATTATATAAAAAATATCACTTTTTGAATTTAAAATGATTTATATAATACTTAATATTACAATTATTAAAATTGTCTAACTATATTGAATGGAAGTTAAATTAAATGTATAATTACAAAATATATAAAAGAATGTAAATTTTTTATAAATATTTATGTCTAAAATTATATAAATTGTATAATATATAATATATTAAATTATTATTTTCATAATAAATTATTATCATAAAGCTAGCAGTTTTGCCTAGATAATACCCTGAGGTTCGCTAAAATTTAATTTTTTAAAGTTTTAACATATCAAACAAAAAAAAATATAAAATAATATTTGATGTTTTTTTTTATAAATAATCCAATCCTAACTCTAACCCTAAACCTAATATTAAACTCGTAATTGATAAATTTAATTTTTATCTTTATAAAATGATTTTTTTTTTATTTATTTTTTTTTCTAATTTAATTTCCAGTATTGGCCTTTAGCCGTTTGGCAAATTTGGCCAGCCAAAATGGCTAAAAAATCTTGGCCGCGGCCAAATATCAATCAAATTCTAATACATTTATTAATACCTAGTTATTTAGCCATTTTGACTATTTTGGCCACGGCCAAATGGCTAGAAATTCCTTGGCTGTGACCAAATGCCAACTGATATATCCTTAACCATTAGCATCATCCTTACTTTTAAGCCATCTATAGTATTCTTCCTCTATTTTCTCTACTTCCCCTTTAAAGAACCAAGTTTCATTAGAACAAACAAATAACCCTTCATGACTCTCCTTTTCCTGATTATATAGTTGACAATATCTTCGTTAGGAGGTACTTTCAAAACCCACTTGGTTTGCATTCTTAAACCACGAGTAGTATCATATTGTCATTAACAATTATGAAATCAGGCTGCCCGACTATATTCTCCAAAGCATGACCATCCAAGAAAAGGATTGAATGATCAAGGGGAGTTAAGGTCTCATGAATGTTTACATCTGATGCTGTACAGATGTCCTTTTCACAAGTGACCATACGACATCGGCTAAACGTTGATTCTTGGTATTTCTTATCGACTTCCAGACGCCACTCTAATACTTCTTTATCAAATTCCACCCAATTTGATACCTCATCGGAAAATCGCTGTTCCGTTGATACAGTACTTGACTTTGACTTATAACGCAACTTTAAATAGGTCATGGTACGATGGAATTCAGGCCAATTACTGGAAAGAGGAGTCTAATTTGGAATAGCCGCCCAACACAGTTGTTACTCCCAGACTGTCAAAATCACCCCGAGAATTGAACTCAGGCCTCTCTGGTACCATCAAATTTGGTAAAATGTTGCGACGACTGCCGGTAAAGAAATTCCTTCCGAAGGTATCGAATTCGTTTTAAGCTTTTTATTTATCCGTGATTGAAAGTTTTCTTTCTCATTAATCACAGTTCGTTTACGTTTCATACGATTCTAAAATAATAAGCAGATTTTAGCTTAGCGACAAATACACCAATATACAAGAGTTTCATAATCTATTACTACCTTTGCATCATCAATAACTTCTTCCCAGTACATCTTTAACCATCGCTCCGAACGTTCCGATTTTACCTGTTATAAAAGTAATAGAAGTAATGATGTTAGCAGTGCAACCTTTTTTTTTATTTAATAATAAAGGATGGTACATAATCGAATATCCAAGATAAGAATTACTGAGAGCCAACTAGGAGTTACCCTTCCTTTGCAAATAAAAAAAAAACGCACCTTTTCTTTTAAAATCGTAAAATTTCTTCTAAACTTTCTGCTTCTCTTAAAAATTGGCGGCCCAACCATCGTCAAGGTCGTGCCAGTTATTCGAAAATGACAAATCAATGATTTTATCGCGACACGCATTCAGAAATCTTCGATATGACCATAGACAACGTTCATTCCACGCTATAGCCCACGATCTATTATGTTCATATGAATTGTTTTTAGAATACAAATTTATAATAAAAACTGAAAAAAAAACTAAGAAAGGATGTAAATTACGTTTTCGATTCCCAAGTAGTTTGACAGTATGGCGAGCTTGGTTGTACCATAGACCAGTGTTGTCATGGGACATTGATGGGATACTGATGGGAACATAGATGGGACAGATAGGACATTTGGGACATAGTGTAGGACAGGTTTGGACATATAGCTGGGACAACAAATCTCTGGGACATCAAAAATGTACATCACTGCCATAGACCTGGACGAATACCTCTCTATCTAGTAATACATAGTGCCTGTGCTTTGATATGACATGTCTGGCAGTGATGCAGAAACGGAAATTTGACTGCCATGATTATAAAGAACGTTTGGTAAAATTTCAACTGCATGCGGCATCTTTTTTTTTTATATACTGTGAATTAACTAATATGTCACACCGTAGAGATTTACGGTTTCTACGCGTCTGTCACGCGTTTTATCACGTGAATATACAAGCTGTGCAACATCGCGACATTCGAATTTCATATATATCCTGAATTCTCCAAAAAAATTTTACTGTAAATCTATTCTTTTCGTTTAAAGTTAAGTATTATTTAATATTAATTTCTGTTTACAACTACACGCGCCTCTTTTTGTTGCATGGGGGCCACCAAGCGCTGCCTGGTAGTTCAACACGAAAGGTGGCCTGCTCGGTCGGACAGCTTGATGTCTCCTGGACAGATTGGATGCTGGTTGGTAACCCTCCAGGGTTTACATGCAAATCTTCCGTGTTCAACACACGTGTAAGAGAAGAGACTGCGGAAAGAGTTCACGTTTGGGAGAGTGTTTGCCTGTGTTGCAGGAGGTCCGCAACCGTGCTTAATTGTTCAACACAAAAGAGTGCCTAGTTGCAATTTGAAGGATTGCCTGCGAACGTTATGCGTCTCAACATACATAATGTGGCTGAACGACTTGCACTCGAATGAGGGCTACCAAGTATATCTGTGGATTACTCAGTGGATTACTGGTATTAATCAAGCTTCCGTTTTTTTATTGTTTAACGTAGATGAGTAAATTTGCCAAGTTTGTACTGGACACAAGATTTTGCCAACCACACACTGGAATCAATAAGTTTTTCTCTGTAACTTCCTTGAACTGGTGGAATGATATTAAAAAATTTACAAGATTGGTATACGCAAGTGATCCAACGGTGACAGCACAGCAAGTATTTAATCAATACGCTAAAGCCTATTTGAAATTTCAACCATCAAGAACATTGATCCCGATGTTGTACAACATACTCATAATCTTCATAAAAATATTATTGTATGATTTTATATTTATTATGTTGATGGCAGTGACTTTCTAGTCCAATCTGATTAGTTTGCTCCCAAATAGAAAACAGAATATTTGAAAATTATCGGAGATACTTTGATGAAAAAAATACATGATGATTCGAAAGTAAGCATGAAGACTACCGTATTATTAAAGCTATATTTTTAATAGAATGTCGTTTGCTAACAATAAACCACTTAAGAAAAGGAAGAGAAAAACTATTCGAACCCGAAAAAATTTTCAAACTGCAAAATCCAATGATATAGAAAATCGAAGAACAGCTGTATATAATGACAGCTATGTAAGCTCAGCTCACGTTTTGTCAATGCTATTTTATGATATATTTTATTACTAAACTTTTGCCTTGTAGGATTTGAATGCCGAAATAAATAATTTTTTTCAAAGTTCACATCCGTCCAATCTGTTCTTTAAGCGAGATAATTGCTCCAAATGTTTTATGGAGGTAAATGCGGATAACAACATTTACCTTTTTCGATTCTTTAGATTAATATCTCCGAACTATTAAGGTTTTGTTCATACTGCGGAAGTAAAATTGTGTTGTCTGATGACGTTAACGAGCTTGAGAGTGATGAGGATGGATCAGTTAAAGTATCTAATAATAGAATTCTTATTATTTATTACATATATCTCATAATCTGCTTATGTTATTTTAGTCTGATTGTGAAGCAGATGAAAATAAGGACGATAATGATCTTCCTAAAATAAACAAATTGGCTTTTCGCGAAGTACACAATGCTATTCCAGATACTGCGAAGATGCATTTGAAGTCGGGAAAGATAGTAGAGGATGTTCTTTTCGATTTCGCCAAAGATATGGAGCATGAACAGTAAGTTTCTCAAAATTTGAATTTTTTTTATCTCGTCATTCGTGATTCTGACATATGTTATCAGCCATGCTCATTCCTACATTATAGACTATGACGATGAAAATGTCAGGGCATTGTTCACTGAGGCGGAATGGAATGAATTAACTGAAGATCGAATTAGATTTCCAGCTGTTCCGCATGAAATTGCGAAAGAGCTGATGAGATACAGAAAAACAACATTAAGCGAGCTTCGTAATTCTGTTATGACATCGTATTTACAAGATGGAACAATTTATAATATCAATAAGCATTACGATCAGGAGTGGATACAAATGGCAGTGCGAACACTAGTCAACCTATATGAAAATATTGATTCCCCCTTAATCAGAAACCAATACGAAGATTAGTTTACTGCTGCTTTTTTCGGGACGTGCATCGACTTCTGTATGAGGGATATTCAATTGGGCACGGATATTAAGAGGTTTTAACCACTTTCCCATTAGTGCAAATAATAATTATTTACTTTTAATGTAACTTTAATTATCGCTATTTGTAGGACTGATGCACCATCACTAGCTAGTGCCAACAGGAAAAACCGTGGTCGGTCAGGAAACACAAACACCAGGAAATTGACTGGACGCAAAATCGATGGGATAGTATATATAGTTGACAGACTTATTGAAGTGGGAGCCATTGAGGCGGCGAGATCATTCTTAGGAGTTTCGGACCAAAAATATCTTCTTGAAACATTCAAGATGCCAAAAACTCTTCGTGATATATATGCTGATCTTGTGAGAACTGCAAATTACGAAGATCGAAAAGCTAACAATATTCAGGTATTTGGTATCTTGCACCTTGGGTTATGGATTCAATTTGCAAGACTGTGGCGTGCTGGTGGTTCAGTTTGTATTTTTCGGAAAGACCCTGTATCTCACCATGTAGATAGTAAATTCTCTGAAGATGGAATAAAATCTTTTCTCAAACTTATGGCAGCGATATATCAACACAAGGTAATAAATACTTGTACATATCGTTTCATTTATCTTAACTATTATCCTAATCATTTCACAGCTTATCATAAGGAATAACTTACAAACATTGAATATCCGGAATACAAATATTGAGCCAACGGATGAAGACTTTTTAAATGAGCTGTTAGAAGTTGGAGATTATTCTGCTTCACCAACATCAAATATTTTTTTTGCCGACTCTTGGCCTACCCCAAGAAAAAAGAGAAAGAATTCAAAGAAAAAGAATGCAAGAAAAATGAGAAAGTTGTAAACAAGTTTCAACAATACTTATCTTCCCGCCAACTTTTCCTCTCATTTTTTATGAAGCTTCCGAATATTTAAGAGTTCAGTGTGATGGTGATTCGAAAGTGGCAAATCAAATAATGTCAAGTTGATAAAGAGGAATTATTAACGATCATATACAGTATAAAAGCTTCAAGATTTAAACTTGGTTTGAACTTTCCAACGTAGTGATTTTTTTTGTTCCAACTTTTCACACACAAACACACACATATATATAAACAATTTTCCCCAGCAACAAAAAAAAAAAAATTTCTTTTTTCAATCGACTTTTGCTAAAACGAAAAATAATTTTTTTTTTCAGCGCAAGCGCCTTTTTTTTCTTTTCTTTTCAAAAAATACAAATATATACACTTTACATATAAAAGCTTTGTTTGTTGTCTCCTCCCTTCACATTTCGAAACGAAGTTACTTAAACCACTCTGCAACTTTATTTTCTTTCACGTAACTATCAAAAAAATCTTTTTTTTTTTCTTTTGTAATTTTTTTTATTTACGCTCGCATTTGTCCTTTTGGTCGCACTTACGAGATATTTGGGTATATATTTTTTTTTTCCTACGTTCCAAAAAAATAGAGAACTTTTTCAACCCCGAATCAGAAAGGAAACCGACAAACAACTACATTTCGTTCGGATGTTAGAAATGAATAAAAGGAGAAAATTTGAAGAGCTACAATAATAAGCACAATTAACACTTTTACAATGACAAGGTGAAACCTTGTACTTGGTTCGTCTGGCAACAAAACAAAAGCAAAAACCGATATATTTCAAAGCGGTTACAATAAAATTAGGAACTTTGACATTTATGTTAAAAATCTAACTTCAATTATTATTGCTTCTGATAAAGTATCAACAAATTAGAAACTAAAGTTTGGAATGATTCTTAACGTAATAAAGTATTAAGTATATATTTGAACAAGATGGTGAGATGTTTAAAATTAACTGTACTAAATGTGAAACAAACCGAATTTCCCTTGTTCATATAAAAACAAAAACTATTACTCACACTTCCATAGTTGTTTAAACAACGAAATACAAGATGGTTTTTTTTGATTTATCGAAATTATTGATGTTATCTCGGAGATTGGTGGAAAATACATCGCGTGATTGAAAAAAAAATTTTTTTTTTTATATTCGAGGCTTTGTAACTGCCGCTACCAGAGAATTTTTTATAAAGACTCCAAAATGTATTATTGGAAAAATGTTTTATGATTAGATCACCGGAAAAGTTTCTCGTATAATAAAACAAAAAGTAAACCAATCGCTTTGGTAATTCAATCGAAGACTATCATTGAAACTACAAAAAAACTTGAAATTATACTATCATCGAACAAAACTATTAATATTTATTTAAGTGAAGACTTAAAGAGACTTGTCAAAAAAGATTTGTAGTCTACTTACGATAAATTTTCTCGAATGCACATGGAATCCAAAAATCAATGATACAGAGAATAAATCTCACGTTTTTATTATAATTATTCTTGCAATAATCCCATTGCTTATCGGCAGAGTAGATTATCCATGAAGAAATTATCTTGCGTCAATGAAACAAATTGACATAAAATTAGGCGTAGCTCAAACTTGATGCAACTTGAACAAAAGCAAAAGCGCAAGCTTGATGAGTTGTAACCCGATCAGAATACGTCTATGGAATCGTGCATACTCCGGATCAAATTTTCTGAAGTCAAGCAGATGAAAAATTAAAACGGTTCCGGGTGATCGTTTAGAATCGAGACCGAAAAAATAAGAGACAACGCATGTAAGAATATAGGAGTTATGCTTTAAAAGTTACGACGGATTTGTAATGTACATTCCGATATCTTTATTTTTTTCGCTACTTTTTAATAAATCAAACTTCGATAGAAGCAAATTCCCGAATTCTTTTTGCCTTTCAGCTGAATAGATCCAAGACATCTGGTATAACGATTTCGTGGAAAATTTAAGGATATGTTGTCTTTTTTTCTAGTCTTTTCTATACAAGGTCTAGAACTCACCTTGCGGGAACATAAAATTTCCGAATTCAGTAATACCAAATGAAATGTATGATGCTATCGAAGAGGGGATTTCGCGAATCCTAGTCATCACATTATTTCTTTGCTTTCTCTTTTCTACAGCTAATTTATTTTCTCATTCATTCGAAAAAGATTAAAGTTTCTAGATGTTTGGGTCATCACTTTAAGGTCTTATTTCGATGAGCAGTCAGCATTTACAGGCGTACAAAAACTTTATTTTATTTTTTCATTGATAACCATATAGAAAAAAATATACACAAAATGTATATAGATAAAATTTAATGTGCATTAAATATCTATAAAAGAGAAGTTTTGCATCATAAAAAAAGTCCAGCCTACAAAAAAGAATAATGAAATGGCTTAAATTAACACAATATGTGCGCGTGCAAAAACGAGCACATTTTTGTGATGTCATATGTGCACAAAAAATTTTTCGACGTGCTCATGTCCGAAGGGTTGGCACATTGTGCACGTTTTTACACACTTCGTGATTGAAGTTTGTAATAAATATGAAAATATAATTGCTTATTAGAAATTTACTATTCGACAATACCCTTTAAACAAAACCTTTCATTTTTTTTTAGTTTGAAAATAATACCAAATTAGTAGCCGTACTTTTTCTTAATTAGTCACACTTATTATGAAAGAAAAATCTAATAAGAAAAGAGACATAATATCTCACTAAGGAAAATACAATATTCTTAAGAACAGAAACCAACTGACAATTTATATATATAAGGTCACTTTCCACTCTGTAAAAAAGAAAAGTTATTAAAACATACTCTTTCAAATTTCAATGCTCTTTTCTTTTTTACAATATTAAAATAATCATGAAATTTCTTTTGCTTACTGTTATAATTTGCCTTATCTACGCTCTTGTTAGTGTGAATGCTTCACTGTTAATTAATGAAGGTAATTATATCTTTAGAATTTTGTTTATTTCATTTTCAATAATACCAAAACATTTAATAATTATTTTTTTTCATTAATAGCTCGAAGAAGGGGAAGATGGAGAAGACCAAAACCAAAATCAAATTACGCTTTAGTGGGTTACAACTGTTCTAACATATCATGCTGTTGAGGACTAACAATGTATGCATTTCTGGTTAATTGCTTTAAAAAGCATCTATTTTAAATGCTTATTAATTAAGTTTTAACAGACCTCTTGTTTGATAAGTATTGTTATAGAAATACTTAGCCAAAATCGGCTTCAAATTAACACAATATAGATCTTATTTATTATTTATTGTGTTCTATTTTTTTGTTATATGTTATAGTAGGATTCCCGTTTGAAATACAAATTACATTTCAAATATTTAAAATTTTTTAAGTTTTTTCAAACGAATATCGAAATAATTTTGAATATCAAAAGTTATTTCAGATATCGAAATTGATTCGAATATTGAATATCAAAAATCAATTCAGATATCGAAAATTCACAATCAATTCTATTTTAATTTTTTTTATTTTTCTTTTTTTAATTATTTTAAAAAATATTAAATTAATAAATAATCGATCGATAAGATATATAAAAACAACTATATAAGGAAAGTATCGTTGGTAAAGCCCATTTTTTAGTTTCGTGAATGAAATATTAAATTGCATGGTTTTTATTAAAAGAGACGATAGAGATTAAAAGAGAATACGAAAAAGTTTATAATACCAAATTAGTACTACATTAAATATGAAAATATAATTGCTTCTCAGAATATAATACCAAATTAGTAGCCGTAATTAGTCACACTTATTATGAAGGATTAACCTAATAAAAAAAGAGACACAATATAGTATGATATCACTAAGGAAAATATATATTCTTGAGAACGGAAAACCAACCCACAATTTATATAAATAAGGTCACTTTTCACTCTGTAAAATAGAAAAGTTATTAAACATATTCTTTCAAAAAAGAAAAGTTATTAAAACATATTCTTTCAAAAAAAGAAAATTATTAAAACATCTTTCAAATTTTAATACTCTTATTTTTACAATATTAAAATAATCATGAAATTTCTTTTGCTTACTGTTGTAATTTGCCTTATCTACGCTCTTGTTAATGTGGATGCTTCACCGTTAATTAATGAAGGTAATTATATCTTTAGAATTTTTTTTGTTTCATTTTCAATAATACCAAAACATTTAATAATTATTTTTTTTCATTAATAGCTCGAAGGGCAAGATGCTCTACAGAAGGTCAAAGCTGTGTAAACGCACCATGCTGTATGGGACTTAGATGTAAAAAATTCCGAAGAACGATATGTATTCCTTAATTGCTTTAAAAAGCATCTATTTTAAATGCTTGTTAATTAAATTTCAACAGACCTCTTGTTTGATAAGGAAATACTTGGCTTCAAATTAACACAATATAGGTCTTATTTATTGTGTTCTATTTTTTTATTCTATTATTATTATTTTTTTTTTATTTAAGATTCTTTAATAAATATTAATAAGAAGATAACAAATTTGTATTTTACTTATAATATATTCATATAATAAATTAATATTCGTAACATCTATTGTATTGCTTCATAAAAATGTGTTGTTCTACATGTTTTTAATGGTATTGGACATGTTTTAAACGGTGTTAATTATAAGGTTCGTTGCTCTGACACTTTTTGGTGTTGGTCATGACACATTGACACATTTGATGATATAAAATTAATTTTTAGTGATGCATATCCCCGGTTTGGTATAATTCGATTTAAATTCGGTTTAAATAAAAACCGGTTGATTGAATTTAATGAAACCGGTTCTAACCTCTGAGATCAAAAAAATAGTAATAATTAAATATCATTGATATTTGATGCAAATCTACATTGGTGGTTGTAAGTACTTTGTATGTCATTTAGTGTAATAATTATTCCAATCATTAATTTATTTTAACATTGAAGTTGCGATCATGACAACATTTATATACCGTATGTTTTTTTTAGATTTTTTTTATTGCTTGAAACAATGAATAAAATAGAGGTGAAATTTTATCTTCAGGCCAGTGCGAGCGAGCCAGCGCTTAATTATTACGTTTGAAGATATTATTAAACGGCAGATTATAAACCCACTTGAATAAATAATTATAACACAATCAAGATTTTCCTCGATACTTAATCAATAAAAGGTTTATGAAGTACCAACTAATCAAGATGCTAGTGATCAATACAAAAAAATAATTTAATACCACGTGTGGTTTCAAATAACCACCATAAAAGACCGGCGATTTCTGGTAAAAATATTTCCAATGACTTTTATTAATGGTAACATTTGTATTTTTAATATTAGGAGGAATGAAATTTATCGTGAATAAGCAGAAACTGGTTTAAGATCTGATGTGGTGTAAACAAATTGATGTAGTATGATGGCATCATCATCATCATCATCATGATTAAAGCTCCGCATAAGCCCGGCTTGGCTTGGATTGCCACCGGCTCGAGCCGAGCCACTTTTTTTCGGCTCGGGAGATTAATTGACAAGCCAAGCCAATCCGGCTTGCAAGCCGGCTCGTTCGGCTTGCATTTATATTTAGAAACGAAAACCCGTCGATAGAAACGTTTCTCATTAAGAGAAACGTTCCTGGAACGATTCCCTTTGAGAGGAACGTTTCTGGAACGATTCCCTTCGAGAGAATTGTTTCCGGAGCGAATCCCATAAAGGTTTTCGCTTCCGGAGCGATTTCCTTTAAGAAAACGCTGCCGGATGCGTTTTTCTTCAAAGGAACCGTCACCGAGGCCGTTTTTCTTCAAAGAAGAAAATGCAAGCCAACGAGCCGAGCTGCGGCACGAGCCAAGGCATGGCTTAAGCCGGCTTGTCTGGCTCGCGGCTCGTTTTATAGTGGCTCGAGCCGTTCCTAAACGAGCCGGCTCGTTTGGCTTGCAAGCGGCTCGGCTTATGCGGAGCTCTAATCATGATGATGATGATGATAATATAATGTTCTATCACTCCATCCGGGAATTCTTTTTGAGATATTAAAAGAATCAAAGGTATCGACATAATATTTGTAGTTAGGAGAAAATTTGACCTCCCCCTCTTGAAATCCATTAAACATTCTTCCTCTCCTCCTCTCAATAATTAATTGATCAAATGGTAATACCAATTGATGTTGATTTGTATTTAATAAATACATGATCGTTAATGAGGGATTTTTAAGGTAATCTATTTCGATAAGATAATTCAAATCTCCAAAGAAGAATACCTAATTATTATCATTATTTACCCCAGTATCGCCACAAAAAAATTCCATCCCACGTGACTTTTGGCCCGGTAAGATATACTGTATAGTATAAAGCGAGAAAAAATTGATAGAAGCAAATGAGATGTATGATGCTATCGAAGAGGGAGTTCGCAAATCCTAGGCCATTTAATGCGAGTCCCAGCGTCACATTATTTCCTTTTCTACAGCTAATTTATTTCCAATTCATTATCAACCCGTGATTTATGTACCGAGAGAATGAACCGAGATTTGTGACTTTTTTTTTTTCTCATTCATTCGAAAAAGATTAAAGTTTCTAATTTAGGTTATCACTTTGAGGAAGGCCCGATATGGGCAAATCTATTTTATTTTTTCATTGATAAGCACTAGAGGTTGGAACCGGGCCCCATATATAAAAACAACTATATCAGGAAAATTGCAAAGAGAATAAGAAAAAGTTTATAATACCAAATTAGTACTACATTAAGTATGAAAATATAATTGCTTCTTAGAATATAATACCAAATTAGTAGCCGTACTTTTTCTTAATTAGTCACACTTATTATGAAGGATTAACCTAATAAAAAAAGAGACACGATATCAATAAGGAAAATACATATTCTTGAGAACGGAAAACCAACCCACAATTTATATAAATAAGGTCACTTTTCACTCTGTAAAATAGAAAAGTTATTAAAACATATTCTTTCAAAAAAGAAAAGTTATTAAAACATCTTTCAAATTTTAATACTCTTTTTTTTTACAATATTAAAATAATCATGAAATTTCTTTTGCTTACTGTTGTAATTTGCCTTATCTACGCTCTTGTTAGTGTGGATGCTTCACCGTTAATTAATGAAGGTAATTATATCTTTAGAATTTTTTTTTTGTTTCATTTTCAATAATACCAAAACATTTAATAATTATTTTTTTTCATTAATAGCTCGAAGGACAAGATGCGCTACAGTTGGTACAAGCTGTGAAACCATACCATGCTGTAGTGGACTTAGATGTAAAAGAACTCCGAAATTGTTATGTACTTCTGGATAGCTTTAAAAAGCATCTATTTTAAATGCTTGTTAATTAAGTTTCAACAGACCTCTTGTTTGATAAGGAAATACTTGGCTTCAAATTAACACAATATAGGTCTTATTTATTGTGTTCTATTTTTTTTTTATTCTATTATTATTAAATAAATATTAATGAGATAACAAATTTGTATTTTACTTATAATATATTCATATAATAAATTAATATTCGTAACATCTATTGTATTGCTTCATAAAAATGTGTTGTTCTACATGTTTTTAATGGTATTGGACATGTTTTAAACGGTGTTAATTATAAGGTTCGTTGCTCTGACACTTTTTGGTGTTGGTCATGACACATTGACACATTTGATGATATAAAATTAATTTTTAGTGATGCATATCCCCGGTTTGGTATAATTCGGTTCCAACCTCAGAGATCAAAAAAATAAATATCATTGATATTTGATACAAATCTACATTGGTGGTTGTATGTCATTTAGTGTAATGATTATTCCAATCATTAATTCATTTTAACATTGAAGTTGCGATCATGACATCATTTATATACGTATGTTTTTCAGATTTTTTATTGCTTGTAACAATGAATAAAATAGAGGTGAAATTTTATCTTCAGGCCAGTGCGAGCGAGCCAGCGCTTAATCATTACGTTTGAAGATATTATTAAACGGCAGATTATTAACCCACTTGAATAAATAATTATAACACACTCAAGATTTTCCTCGATACTTAATCAATAAAAGGTTTATGAAATACCAACTAATCAAGATGCTAGTGATCAATACAAAAAATAATTTAATACAACGTCTGGTTCCAAATAACCACCATAAAAGACCGGAGATTCTGGTAAAAATATTTCCAATGACTTTTTTCACGACCCTCCATTTATCAATCTTAATATTAATGGTAACATTTGTGGTTTTAATATTAGGAGGAATGAAATTTATCGTGAATAAAGCAGAAACTGGTTTATGATCTGATGTGGTGTAATCATTATTGGAAACGTATTGATGTAGTATGATGGCATCATCATCATCATCATCATCATCATGATGTTTATTGTAATATAATATTCTATCACACCATCCGGGAATTCTTTTTGAGAAATTAAAAGAATCAAAGGTATCGACATAATATTTGTAGGTAGGAGAAAATTTGACTTCCCCCTCTTGAAATCCATTAAACACTCTTCCCCTCTTCCTCTCAATATTTAATTGATCAAATGGTAATACCAATTGATGTTGATTTGTATTTAATAAATTCATGAGCCTTGATATCGTTAATGAGGGATTTTTAAGGTAATTTAATTCGATACGATAATTCAAATCTCCAAAAAAGAATACATAATCATTATCATACATCGTATCATACTTCTTCTTGTATGGTGTGGACTTACGTCGTTCGACTAACGGGGTAAAATCATTATCATCATCAAAATCAACAAATGCTTCCTCATCAATCGTGTTATTAACAAATACTAATCTTTGAATGATGCTTTGAAAATCCTTATTTCTTTTTAAAACATTTTTTGAATGTGGAGCTAAATGCGCGCAAACGAAACACACCGAATTAACATTTTCTCTGTTGGGATCAATGAAAATGATTAATCGAACCACGATCGCTCCTTTATTACCGATCCACATTGGTCCAACTCCAATTTGTTCGACCTCAACGTCCTTTATCTGATTAATCAACTCATCTCTAACGTAAATTACCAAGGCTAACCCAACGAATATGCTTCGTGTTACCTGATAATATCGTTCTCTTGTACAATTATATATCGCTCTTTCAATCATTCCTTCACAATGTTTGATTCTGGTTTCACTATTAATATTCAAGAATGCGTTTGGGTATTCATTAAACTCTTGAAATCCTATAGCTATTATATCAGGTTTTTCTAATAGCGAAGGTGATGAGGTGCTTAAGGGGAATAACCATGATGTTAATTCTTGATTTAATAATCGTTGATTTAAATTATAAGTTCCTATTAAAACATTGAGCGGCATTTTTTATGTATTTTTTTTTAAAAAAAACAAAATAAAAAACAATAAATAAAAGTTTTTAAAAAATTTTTAAGTCAAAAAAAAAAAACAAATTAGCCAGTTCTCCAAATTTGGAAAGCGATCTTTTTGATTACCCCCGCATATTAATATCATATGACGATTTGACGATCCGTTCAACCTTTTCGAAAATTTAATTAAAAAAAAAAAAATGAAAAGGAAACGTCAAGTCCTTAAAACCGAAATCAAAAGTCATTATTTCACTAGCATCATAAATGAAGATGATGAAGCTGACGCGCAACACGAGAATGACGCGTCAAAAAGCGGTATAACCGAAACTATATTTATACAAGATGATGATTTATTATCCGAGTCGGATTTGATGCAGAAATCATTAAAATTGCAAGAGACAATTATGGAAGCTCAGGAAATCGCATCGATGAAACGAACGGGGAAAATATCCAAATACTTTAAATCAAACAAAAAGAAAATTATTAAAGGTGATAATCCCAAAAATTTCAAAATCAATAAAGATCCTCTTGCTCTCATACACGATAAGCACGATATCACATTCAATAATGAAACTGACTCAATAATCCGCTCGGAGTCAACAGCGGGATTCGTTTCGGAGATGGTGATCACTTCGGAAAAAAGGTTTGATGATGATGCCGTCGAACAAGACCTAATTTGTACTGACAATTCAAAGAGCAGTGGCAAATCAAAACTTCCAACCATGGAAGAAGCACAAAAAGCAGCATCAGTTCCAATTCATTATACACCAAAATTTATTCCGATGCCATCTCCTTTCAATCTTGTACAAGAAACTTTATATTATGACCCATGGAAGGTACGATAATTGTTACAATTTATTTGTTACGATTCATTTTTATCTTTCGCCCACCTGTCTTCCTTTTTTTTTTTTTGATGAAATCAAGCTATTGATTGCAACCATGTTTTTAAATCGTACGAGAGGTTCACAAGCGTTGCCATTAATGTGGAAATTTTTTGAAGAATATCCGAGTCCACAAAAAGCCGTTTTGGCCAATGTAGATAAATTAGCTGATTTATTACGCCCATTAGGACTTCAGTTAAGTATCACATCTATTTAAAACTAGGCAAAATTTTTGATCGAGTTAACCTTTTCATTCTCCTTACATGTAGGAATACGAGAGCAGAAAGGATAATAAGATTTTCATACACGTATTTATTAAATCCAGATTTCAAGACCCCCAAACAGTTATTTGGTATGGGTAAATATGCTGAAGATAGTTGGAAGTTATTTTGCGAAAAGGATGATAATTGGATGGAAGAATATGGTTTAGAAACTGAAGACAGAATTTTACAATTATATGTTAATTGGCGTAGACATCAACATAAAGGCTTAATAAGTGAGGAAGACCTTAAAGAGAGAAATTTGGAAAAGAAAGGGCAAGAGATTTCATCGCAAGGAAAATCACAAGATGATTCGATGGGGAGATCATCCATATCAAAGAAGTATGAAAATGAAAATTATCTTTCCTTACAAGAATTAAATAATTTGGACATCTCATCAAGATATTATGAGGATTCATTATTGGAAACTACTTGCATTAAAAAATGATTGTAACTCTCATGTACATATGCAAACATGCATGTCTTATTATGATAATAATAAATTTATTTTTGGAATTTTATGAAAGCAAATGTAACTAAACTATTAATGATCTACTTCCATTATGTTTCCCATTTTGGTATTGGGAGTTGATAGTGCTTCTTCTATGGACATTAGCGAATTAGACAAATTTAAATGAGTTATTTAAAGAATTTTATAATTAAATTACCTGTATTGATTTTTTCGATTATCATCTTTCCGCTCTCCATTCCGTGATTTTGTTGCTACATTATGATAAAAATCAATTTAATTTTCAACAATCAAAAAAAAAAACCATTCAAAAAAAATAAAATAAAATAAAAATTTAACACACATTTCTAATTAATCTGTCAAGCTTTTGTTGTTTCTTTTTAGATCTATGTCTACCGTGAATGACCATTTCACTAGGTCGTAACTTTCCCAGCATTTTATTATTATTTGACCGAATCTTTCTTTTAATTCGACGTTGTTTTGTCAACTTGTGAACCTTTCTTGGAGCATTTGTATTTACCATTGTTGATATTTTTTATTTGTTAAAAAGGAGGGGGGACAGATTTTTTTTATGATCACCTATAGTAAACTCTGTTTTGATTTATATTTAGATATTCTAGAAAGAATTCATTTTTCAAACCAATGGCCCGGAGACGGATCCGCCGACTGTTACACGTAATCTCCTTATAAGTATCATAAGCATCTGATTCGGTTATTTCGGAATATTTTATCGGTACGAATGAAAGCATACATTCATCCTTAAAATCGAAATCTATAGGCTTTTTTAAGTAAATCGATTTTTTTTTTTGGATATATAAAGGTCAAGTTCCTTTTTTGACCTTTTACTCAACAAACTTATTTTTTTTTATCAAAAAACCAACCAACCCTTAAAATTTACCACATTCCTTTTTTTTTTTTTAAAAAAAAAAACAACAAATAACGCATAAACCTCCCGAACATTTTTTTTTGATAAAAAACTATGGCTGAAACTATACTTCGAATCGGTGTGCTTGCAGCTAGAGATTTAGCAGCCGCGTAAGTATCTTCTATTTCAAACGAATTTTTTTTTAGATGAGTAAACTCTACTTTAAAAATATCATAAAACATGACCAGTACTGACTCTCCACATTTTCTTTTCTTTTGTATTAACAGTGATAGAGATGGTTTCTCCGATCCTTACGCGGTAATCAGAGTAGCAAATAAAAAATATGAGACAGCAGTTATCAAAAAAACATTAAATCCGGTATGGAATACATCATTTGACATCAAATTAAGCGAGTCGAATCTACCTCCGCTCATTGTCATAACAGTATGGGATGAAGATCGTTTTGGTCGTGACTTTCTTGGGGAAATCACTATCCCTATTAAACAAGTATTTGCTAGAAATAATGGTGGATTAAATGATGGACAACCTAGAACCTTTGATGACCCTGCGAATCAACCTTCTGCTTACACTTTACAAAAGCGTACCGCCAGAAATGATGTTAAAGGTGATATCATATTGAAATTTGGACTCGTTGATAATAAAAATCGATCCTTGGAAGATTTATGGTATTTTTGGGAACATTTATGCAATAGTACGGTTGTCCGATAAAACTATTTTTTATTTATCACGTTCATTTATTTACACATTCCAATTATATATATATATATTTATGTAATATTCAAAGTTAGAATTTTCAATCTTTTAGACATTCATTTAAATTATTTCCTTTTTTTTTTTTTTTTTTTTTTTTTAAAAAAAAAAAAAAAAAAAAAAAACTATATATATATATATATATATATATATAATGATGATAATAATAATAATAATAATAATAATAATAATAATAATAATTTATAGACATTTGATGTATCTAATATTATTAAATATCCGTTATTTAACAAGTTTTACACGGCAAATATTTATTGTATTATTCTATCCAATGATATACAAGATACAACAAATAAATGATCTATTTGTTTTATTTGTTTACAAATATTCAATACCAATCTTCCAAATTCAATATGTTACACGTAGAAAAAAATCCTTATGATGATGCGCCTATGGACAAAGAAAAATCATGTCATGTAAATGTTTGCATAAAAAAAAAATTTTTTTGTCAAATAAAAGTTACTTACTATAAAAATAGATATTCTCCCATAATGGTTGATAATCTCTTAGAATCCCTCCAAATAATGATAAAATAGGTTTGTTGCTGACCGATTGACAAAAATTATTGATTTTTGGCCTATTGATTTATCATCCGCATATAAATTTAAAATGGTCATATATTTTGTAGAGGGTGATTAAAAAACATACCTTGTGAATTTTTCGTAGAAAGGACCTCGTAGAATATAAAAGAGGAAAAGACGGATACGTCTCTTGTGTTCCTCCTTTTCTAATGTAGATATCCATCTATATCCTCCCGGTACCTTTTTCTTGTAGAAATGATCAAAAAAAACTTTTGCTAATAATTCAATAAAAATTGAAAGTACCCAAGGTTTCCATGAACGATTCCCATATTTTTGCAATGCAAAGACTATAAGAAAAATATATATATATAAGATTGAGTTATTGAAGTATATTCCTTTTTAATGAATCGAAAAACATAAAGTTGACCTTGATAGTACCATAGATGAGAGGTCTAATGATGTATAATAATTCGGCAAACTTCCCAATTCCATGTAACCTATGAACTAGTTCTGATGGTTTTCTAATATCTTCACTATATAGCACTTTACTCATTAAATAATCATTAATAATATTATTATTAAAGGTGGTGTTATTATTAATCACCGAAGATAAATTATCTCGTTCACATCTCGTGTTTTGTCCTATCCACGTTTGATTACCCGTAGTAGAATTCTCTTCTTGATTAAAAATTGATGGATCAATTTCTCTTCTTGGTATAGTTGGATTGACTACTGTACGCTCTTGTGTCATATAAAAAAGTATAATTCGACATATCACCCTGAATATTGAAAGGATTTTCGTCAATTCATGTCACGTAAAACGAACGAATTCCGGTTAATGTCACTTACTTTATAAATTCAATCGTGGTGATTAATCTCCATTTGGCTTGTTTACCCCATTTCTTTTGTACTCCCATCTCCATTAATACATCAGTATACTGTAAAAATGTTAATGCAAATGATGCTCTTTGATACGTCTTTGACAGATTAATCCAGTATCTCGTATATTTATTGTGTGCGGAAGGAATTGGTTTTTTTGAAGGCTCCAAGCTTTCGGCAGCTCGAACTAAAATCGAATCATGATATAACCCGATCAAATTCAGCGCTGCAAAGACTAAATACAGGCACACCAAGGAGGAGAAAAAAGAAGCGTCAAAAAGATAAAGATAATAAAATAAGCAATGTGTGTATATATATATATATATAAAAAGAAAGGATTCGTACGCGCTTCAGAAGCGAACTCGGCATCGGCAAACCGACCTAATAACCCAAAATAGGTTAACCTTTTAGAATGCATTCAAACCAACAAAAGAAAAAAAAACACCTTTGATACTTGCCTGGTAGAACATAAGTCAAAGTTCTTAATGAACTTTCAATAGAACTTATTTGTGAGGCATTATTTAGAATAATATTATCATATTTTTTAAGATTTTTTAGGATGGTACCAAGTATATGCATAATTAATTTAGAAAGAGGCGAAAAAAAAAAAAAATTCAATTTTTTTTTTTTTGCTGATAGATATTCTACGGATCCTCCATGTGATCGACCGATTGAGAATCATATATATATCGTACGAGTATCGATGGGAAATTTAAGAAAAAAATGCTTGGCTTTTTAAGGCGTTCTTTAGATGTCGTTAAAGAAGGAGGCATTAAAAGTAAGTTAACAAACAATTAGTAAAACGAATAAATATTTCATAAAAACAATGAATCAAATTTTATTTTAATCTTAATAATTTGAAATCAGTTTTAAAAGCTAACCCTACGCCATGGAATAACGAACAATTATTATTACGTCTGAATAGTGTAAAGGATTTAGAAAATTGGGCTGTGGGATGCGATAAAGATCTTGGTGGTAAATGATTGTTTGAATTGAATTCAAATTCTTTAATTGTAAGTGAAATATTAACGCACTCGTTACTACAATTTAGGATTCTCTGATTCGAAATTAGAAATTACGGAAGAAGGTTTTGGTAAATTTCATGGGAATATTTCTCTTGATGTACCAAAAGATAATCCTCGGATTACAAGAAGTGGTTACGCTGGTATAAGATCAAAGGTACAATATCCTATATGTTCCTTTATTTTTTCTCTGCCGTTTCTCTTTTGTCAAACCCTCGTTTATTATGTAGGTACATGGTTCATCATTATTTGGAATAAGGTGTTGGGACACTTCATTATTTCGCTATCTATATATAAGAGCACGTGGAGACAACAAAAAATATTTTGTAAATATACAAACTGATGGTCCTATAATTACTGATTTGTTTCAACATCGTTTATTCTTAAGGAACCCAGGTGAATGGGAAACAGTATTGGTATGTTTACCTTTCTTTTCTTTCTTTCTTTTTTTTTCTTTTTTTTTCTTTTACCTTTTTCGTTAATTCATGTCTCTAATTTAGATTCCGTTTAGAGATTTTATATTAACTAATCATGGAATTGTGCAAGATCCTCAAATGGAAATGTACAGGGAAAAGGTTAAGACCGTTGGATTCTCTATTTTAAGTCAACCTGGCCCTTTTCGTCTAGACATTGATTGTATCAAAGCGATAAATACCGACTCAACTGATGGTAATCTTATTTATAAGTTTCAACGAGACCTATAATGATATCGTTCTTTTATTTAAAATTTCTATTGAACTTTCTGTAATTTATTATAGGCGATTGGAATATTCAACCACCAATGCAAAATCATGATAAATCATGATAAAAATTTTATTTAATTTAATATATATATATATATATATAAAATAATTAAAACATAATGTAAATAACTAAATAAAAAAATAATAGCTTAATGAAAATAATAATATATATATATCTTTTTTTGTTTTTTTTAAAAAAAAAATAATAATAATAAAATAAAATATAATAAAAATTAATAATATATATATATATATATATATATTTGTAAAAATATACATACATATATGTATTTTAAAAAAAAATTTGAATCTTAAAATAATCTTAAAAAAAATAAAATAATTTTTTTTTTGGTTTTTTTTTGGTTTTATCAATCTTTTTTTTTTTTTTTTAAAAAAAAAAAAAATAATATTTGATATTTCAATTAAATATCAATACTACTGATTATATTATAAATAATAAAAATTGAACTAAATTATAATAATAAAATAAAAAAAATAACTTGTAAATAAATAAAAAAAAATATTACTATTAATATTTTAATATAGAAATTCGATATATATATTTATATATTTTTATTATTTAATAAAAAAGAAATATATTTTTTTTCAACTAATTCAAAAGAAAAAAAAATGAAGAATATTATATATAATTAGAAAAATAAAATAAAATCCAAAAAAAAAAATTTTTGCTTTTTTTCTTTTGTTTCATTCTTATTTTCAACTCCTTTTATATTAACAAATACAAAAAAAAAAATTCACCTTTTAAAAGTATTTTTTTTTGTGTATGTATCTATTGCGTAAAAAAAAAAAAAATAAAATTTGGCAAAATAAAGAAATGATTTTTTAAAAAAAAAGAATAAAAAAACTATAGTACAAAAAAAAAAATAATAAGAAAAAGAATTTTTGAGTGAGAAAAAGAAAAAAGGAAGTTAAAAAAAAAAAATTTATGTGAGTTTGCTCGTTACATATGCTAGATGGGTAAAGAAAATGAAATAAAAGATGTAAAGGAAATTTTTGGCGGTGAAACTGATTTTTGATATGATAAAATATTCTCTCTCGTCAAGTAAATCAAATACTTAAATTGCACGTATGGTTTTATGGAATTATGATGAATAAATCACTCAATAATTCACATAGCATCATTAATCAAATACATATATTATGATATGACAGAGAAAATAATAACTTTTCATCCTACAACTCAGTTCTTGATTTGTTAGTGTTTGGATGCTAATTAAACAAAAAAAAAAATTTTTTTTTTGAATCAAGCTTTTTTTTTTTTAAAAAAAAAAAAGAAAAAAAAAAAAAAAAAGGATCTTAAACGCAACAGAAACCAAAAAAAAACAAGTACAAAAAAAAATGCAAAAACACAAAATTCATAAATACAAAAGGAGTAAAAATACTAAATGAAATAATGATCTAATGTAACTTATCTGGCAATATATATATATAAATATTATTGATAATAAATATGGCGAATATGCTTTTTGTGCTAAGTTAAAATCTATGTTATCTTTGGTTCCAGCCAAATCCAATTAAATTCACCATCCGCCGTATGTCATTCCGTCTTGTGGCAACTCGATCTGCATTGGCAATTGTTGCGCGGAAGCCATATTCGTCGTAGTGTAATTTAGGAAATCTAGATTATCTAGAAATTGGATAAAATTATTACAAGAATTGAACATTTTTTTAATGAAAGCATTTAAAATAAATACCTTCAGATTTAATCATCATATTTTCATCCTGTAAATGATGCTGAGGATTGAAACCAAATCCCAAACCCTGTTGTACCAACATTCCAGTATCATTCGGTGGTGCCGATACGATTGATCCAGATTGCGGTCTACTTTCAACATTCAAATTTGCCAAAGTATTTTTATTTTCATTTCCTGGTTCTTGTTTCAATAAGATTGGATCATCAACGTCTGAAACGCTTAACCTCATCATATCTGGGTTAATTGACATGGCTACGTTCATCGACATTGGATTCATAAAATCATACGTATCAACAAACTCTGTGGTCATCGGAGGAGCAGATGATGGTTGTTGAAATCCTTGAAATTCTGATGTGGTAACGGCATCAAATTCTGTAATAGTGGGAGGAGCAGAAGAAGGTTGTTGGGATCCATAAATATCATGTGACTGTTGTCCCATTATCATAATTGAAGCATCATCTAAATTATGTGGTAACAAAGGTTGTGACATATTACCCTGTACTAATCCAACATTTTGGAATTGCCATTCTTCTGCGCTTTCAGGAAATGAAAGATTGCCACCGTTGAAACCGGACTGAGGCCGTCCATTACCCAGCCCGCTGGGCATCATCCTTGGACTACCCGGAATACTAACACTTCCATAAGGACTGAAACGTCGAGAATGTATTGGTGGGCTGGATATGTGCAAGTTGGCAATACGACTTTGCAATGAAACTCCAGAGGGGGACGTTGGAGTCGACATAATCTGAGAAAATTGATTATTATTGTTATTGTTATTGTTATTATTATTATTATTACCATTATTTTTCTGCTGCTGATTATGATTTTTCATAGCTTTAACATAATCTACTTCTTCTTGCAGTCTTTGCATTAATATCGCTTTTTTGCCTGTTGCGGGTTTTCCACGTTGTCTCAACATTTCTTTAAGTTCGCTGACTGTAATATCTTCAAAGTCAACCTTTTCAAGTTCTTCATCCAATTTACGTTGATATTCTTCAGAGGACAAGGGAGGACTATTATGATTATGTTTAGGATTTCGTTGTATTTGAATAGGTAAAGCATTTCTACGAAAGGAAGAAGAAAGAGAAAAATTGAGTGGAAATGATTGTGCTGGTTGCATAGGAATTGAACCTGGCATTTGTGCGGCGTTTTGGGATTGGAAAGGAGCCGTAGGCGCAGAAAGAGAACGTTTGCGCATGTGTCCCCGGCGAGGTGGAGCAAGTTTAGATTTTTCGGGTGGGAATGTAGGTGTATTGGGAGTTGATACAGATGATAAATCCATAATGGGAGTACCCGTTGAAGTATTCGATTTAACTTGTGATAAAGGCATAGCACTCTGAGCAGCTGCTGTTAATTGAATATTCGGCATACTTCTTTGGGTCCTTTTATCTAGTTTTACTTTAAATCTTGCTTGCAATTCATTAAGCCTTTGGGCATGATTAATTGGACTAGCACTAGAAGTTCTAGATAAGTGCGATCGAGTATTTTGTGAATTTGGGCTCGTATTCCCAGATGTATTTTGTGAGTTATGATTATTTATATCTCCATCATTTTCATTATTAATTTGGTTATTATTTGCATCATCAAGTTGAAATCCGTTAGGATTTAACGTTTGTTGTTTTGAGTTTTGAATGGAAGAAAATTGGACCTGTTGTTCAAAATTCATCGAAGGGGACAAGGATGATTGTGATTGTTGCGCAGCAAACATGGCCTTACGAGCTGCTTGCGCCTTTGCTAATGCATGGATATTATCCGCGGATAAGCTTCGACGACGCATGGTCAAATAATTTGGAATGTTGGTCTTTTGTAAAGGACCCGGAGTCTGGGCCCTTAAATGAGCATGATCATTATTTTGAGACACTGTATTTTCAGAAGCATTAATTTGCTGTTGTGAATCCTGTTGTTGACCAACATGATGAAGGGACTGTTGCTCAGCTTGAGCAAGCACCCAAGAAGGATCATTGACATAATTTTGAGAAATTAAGCCATCAACAAAGACTCCACCGTTACTAAATACGAATTCACTCATTTCATCACCATAATTTTGTGTCCAATCAGACGGAAGGGAACTTCCAAGCATTGCAGCATTATTTTCAAAAGCCTGAAAAGGGAAACCGTTATTATCGGCCATTTGGAAACGTTGAATGATATTAGAAGAATTTAATTGTTCTTGGATCTCTTCTAACTGTTCTTGATTATATTGCTGCTGTTGCTGTTGCTGTTGTTCCTCAAGAAAACCTTGAGAAAATTGATCCTCAGCTGAATGTGGATGAAAAGCTTGAGTGAGTAAAGTACCCGAAGATTGATTCCTCTGATTATACATGGTCTTATTCTACAAGTTCAATTAAATTTATACGTAAATGTGGTATAGGTCGATTGGTCTATGTAAATAATTTTTTTTTTTTTAAAAAAAAAAATTTTTTAACTATACTTGCTTTAAAAAATTAAAATAACATAAATATCTAAATATAATATTAATATATATATATATATATATATGTGTATTTTTACCGACCTTTGGAAGGGATTAATTTTTAATTTTATTTTATGAGCTTAAAAAGAATAATTTTTTAACAGACCTTGCGACAGATGGGAATTGCTACATGAATAAAAAAAAACATCATATTAATATTTTCACTTCCATCGAAGAGAACATGATAACTGATAAGCGGATTGCCTAAAAAAGTTATTATATGCAGATAGGTATTTACCTTGAAAAGACGTTAAATGATACTTAGGCAAAGTAATAAAAGTAAACGGAAGGTCACAAGCCTAAGAAAAAAAGAAAGTAAAGAGAGACGATGTATATGTCGTCGAACTTTTTTTAAATTTCGCAAGGACAGGTAAGTAGAGTCCAACTGCTTTAAATTAAAAAGACTTAAAAAGGTCCACAAAAAAAACGCATAAAAGATACTGAAAAAAAAGAAGGTTCTGTCCTTTTTTAAAGGGACTTTCGGAAATTGGAAAGAATGAAATTGTACGACTGCACGCACACTATACGCACTATGAAAGAACGGAAAGGGAGATAGATATGAAAGGGAAAGAAAAAAAAGTTTGAAGGGAAAACCTGCGTGCGTTGGTAAAGGGGAGCGATTTTCCAAAAACGACCGACTTTTTATGATAAAAAATTTGTTCAACTTAAATTTGAAAACTAGTACAACTTGAAGCTTCCAGCCGAAGATGGCCGTCCGTCAGCCAAGACGGTGGGCTGGATACCTGCATTTGCCTCAAAAGGAATTTCGAGTAACGAAAAGCTCTCGAAGCCTAAAAGGGGAAAACACAAATATAAAACTGCATCTTAAATAATGTGCAACTTTTTAGTTTGATATACAATAGGAAATATAAAAACAACAACTTTTGTTATGCAACATTATTGTTGCCACGTTGCATTAATCATCAGATCCTTTGATGCATTCGAAGAATTTCTCGTTCCGTCAACATCCGTCAAAGAGGTCGTTAATCATTAATTTTTTTTCTATTTGGATCATGTGTCGCATTGCAAATCGACCTTTCCCGATTCATATTATCATTTTATTTTTCTTTCATTTCCATATATTACAAAAGTATTACAAATAAATTTTTTATCCGAAAGTTCACAAGTTGATCTTTTATTTATGAAAAAAAATATAATTAAATTTTTTTTTAAAATCAAAAAAAAAAAACAATGGGGGGAACTTGTATTTTTAGTCCGTATAAACTTACAAATTTTTTTTTTTTCCTTGATTTTCCCAGGTTTCATGACTAATCTTAATTGTAACGTTGCAACATAACGACATCTGTAACTTGAGCCACGCTAAAATTTAGAGCGCTGATCGAGAGACATCGAGAAATTTGAACCCTTGTTCCTTTTTTTATAATATCCGATTTAGGTTGTATAATGAATAACTTTATATCATATTTATATAGGTCGCATTTATTGCATGATCATGTGCCAAATTCTTAAAATAGTGACATCATGTGTTTTGTAGAAGATTATTCAACCTCACCATTAGGTCAAGGGCTGCGACTTGTTGCTGCGGAAGATCATTGTCAAAGTCGTGTGCTTGTGTCATCAATCTGTCAAAACCAGAGTTTTTCGCTTCAAAGACATCAAAAAATTCTCACTAAAAAAGTCGGTTTTAATAAATCTATCTAAAAAAAATGGACATGGACCCTTCGGCAACGTTGTTGAGTCTCCTTCACAAAAATCAAAATTCACCTTCTGAAACAGCCATGACCGGTCAGAGAAGTCCACCTACCTCATCATACCCTTCTCAACCAACCCCCCCTCCAATTCAAAGTTCACCTAATCCTATGCAAATTTTCGGCATTACCGCACCCTATCCTCAGCCATTAGCTTATAACCCAACCGTTTTTCCGCAAAACACTGTGCCACCACCACCACCGCCGCCTCCACCTCCACCGTTACAGCAGTTATCGTCTTCACAATCGCAAATGTCACCAAATCCGTTAGCCACCTTTTTCCAATCCTTTAACTCAAGCTCGATTACTTCTCCCTCACAGTTAACCTCAATAAGTGCTGATAGTGTGACACCTCAGCCTCAACCAGGTATAATTTCTTTTGGTGGTGATAACGAAGCGACTACATCCTCTGGAACGAGTGATCCTACTTTATTGAACATTGACAAAGCTTCTACAGAATCTCTTAAGCTAGCTTTATTTGGTCGTCCATCTTCAACAAGTTTTGATGAAAGGTATCGTGCTCTTTCCATTATCAACGCTAGGTTAAGTTTAATTATCATATAATTTCATTAATTGATTAATTTGTGATCGCTGTATCCCAGTCAACAGGAGAATGAAAACCAATACCAAGCGGATACTTCATTTCCTCAGGATGAAAATCCATTAGAGGTAGATGCAACTTATCCTGAAGAGACTGCCGACCTTGAAGAAAAATTACCTTCTGAGACGGACGTCGATTACAATAAAATTTCGACGTTGGAATCGATAGGACCCACCACTTCATCATCACCTTCAACAAAGCAGTCTCCTTCAACGACGAATAAATCTATGTTTACTTATACCAATCCCTTTGACCTTTTAAAGATATCACCGCCTCCTTCTCCTTCACAATCAATTAACACAAACCAGTGGAATATACAATCTACTTCGTCATCTCAACAAAAACGAGAGGCTCCTGTAGTTCAGAAAGAAAGTGGCGTTTTTTCACGACATACAGAACCATTTCTTTCCGAATTATCTGCATGGAACATACGTGCAAACTTATCAGCCCAGACAATTTCAAGGTATGTAAATTTTGTTTTTAAAAAATTTATTTTCCTTTTAAAACTTTTTAATTTATTTATCTTTATTTATTCTTTTTTTTTTTTTTTTTTTTTAAATCAGTGTCCCAGATGGTGTTAAACTTCCACGAGGAATCCTTCTTTATGATACAGGCAAAAAAAATGAAAATATCTTGTCCCGTAAGGATTTAGAACTTACTACAATAACGCTCGTTCCGAGTGAGTTGGAATATCGTGCTGGAAAATTAATTGCTGTTAATGGATTATATATATGCTATGCTGTGAAAGGTAATTTATCAATTGTTATTATTTATTATTTATTTATTTTATTTTTATTTTTTATTTTCCCTGAATGATATGAAGTTTTCAAGAACTTACTCAGCATGATTAATTTCGACAGGTGGAAAAATACGAGTTATAAGTACTTTATATGGTAGCAAAACGTTATTGCGAAATCACGACAAGTATATTCTTGATATGTGTATTCAAGACGTATTATCTGATGTATTCGAGGATGTAATTGAAACGCAATTGCTTCTTGCAGTTGGTATTGACAGTAAAATTACAGTTTGGGAACTTTCTGAACCACCGTCTGAACAAGAAGTTGAAATCCCGTATGAGAATTTTCTATATTTCTTATAATTTAATGATTATATATTGATTTTTTTTATATATATATATGAGTGTGTATATATATATTTTTGTAATTTTTATTATTATTATTTATTTATTATTTATAAATTTATTTAGGTTCAAAATTTTACTTGAAATTAATTCTAATCAATCACCTGACGAATTAAAGTCTCCACGATATCATCGTGCTGTATGGCATCCAGTGATTCGTAATGTGTTTGCGGTAGCTACGGATACTAATGACGTGTTAGTTATCGATATCAATAAAATTTTGGAGGGCGAAGAGGAAAGGAGTTTTAAAGAATCTGATATATCAGGAAAGATTTTGAAGTCTAAAATGCTTGATAAGGTCCGTCTTTTTTTATTAATTGGCAAATTAAAAGATCATTTCCCTATCAAATTTGATGTGGGACACGTTGTTTCATTGATGCGTATGGTCTTTTAACATAGCCCATCAATGACCTTGCTTTCTCTCCCGATGGAACGATTTTGGCCACGGCAAGCGATGACTGTGTCATCTTTTGGGCACTTGATTTCGAAAATGATGTCGGTATAAATCCGGTCAAAAGAATAATTCTCGATGGACAACAGGTATCTTCGGTATTATTTATTGATGGAGGACAATCTTCGCTATTTAAATTCCGCTATGTGATATTGGGAACGGAAAGAAACACGATTCTTCATCTATATGATATTGAATCAGGCGTATACATACAATCCATTAATTTCTTACCACCACCAGAGCGTCGACCCCCTTTAAGCAAATCATATAGAAAAGAGGAAGCAATGTTTAATTGTGTTAGTTTTGATCAAGAAACTGGCACTTTGTTTATAGCTAATAGTGCAAGAATATCTATATTTGCATTGCACTTACATTTTCCCCAGAAGAAAACTGAACAGTTTGACTCTTATAATCAAGCTCTTTTTGGTGCTACTAGTCAGAATCAAATCGAATATGAGTCGATGAGCTCGGGTGATGATCCAAACAGTTCAAATGTCGTTCAATTCGATTATATGATCGAATTTCCAGTCAACCAATTGATTGGGAGTTTTGTCATAGTTTCTGACATGAATTCGTCACAGGGCGTATCATTATATTGTATTCAATCCAAGGCTGTTCAGCAATATAATATTTCCAAATATTTGATATTGCCTCCAAATTTTGATGCTTGTCCGGAGTATGTTAGCGCGGAATTTTCGCTTGATCAACAACAACAGGAAGAAGACATAAAAAAAGATGAACAAAATAAAGTTTCTATTGTAGAATCATTCGAGTTATCTTCAAATTCTGAAAGTGCTCAATTGTCAACAGCTGATGATGCTAATATTGATAAGGACATTGTAAAAGAGGCAGCAGCAATCGAAATTGTTAATACTAGGGATGAATGTAGTTCAGAAACCACAGCTCTTGTCACTGAATCTGAAGATATTGCACTAATTGAAAAGT